CCGCAGTGTTCTAGAGCTCGCTTTTCAACCATCCCTTCTAGCTGAGCCGGGGTGCCTTTCAGAAGGTCCAGTACACGCGGTCTCTGTGTTATGGGACATGTCTAACTACTACGAGCATATCTGCAGGTCAGCATTGCAGCAGCGAGCCAATGCGGTCCTATCGGTGATTCTCAATCAATACCAATCAAGTCGGTTCCTGACCTTCTTCAACCAGCTTACCCAATACTTACGCAGGACAAAAGCATTTCCTCTTGCAGTGGAGTTCAAGATCCATCTTGGGAAACTAATGACCGAACCCCCTTCCCCCATATAATCTTTAACACGGGCGGGTTCCCTGGTCCGCGGGTCCGATTTCGTCTGGCTTCCCCATTCGATATAAATTGAAAACGGGGGTGCAAATCGGATCCGCCGTAAAAAATGAGACCGAATACGAATCCAGAAAATCCGAAATCGGATCTGCGCGGACGGAAATCAGATACACCGACACAAACACCCGCGTGCCACACGTGGATCCGCGCGAACTTAATGGGATCCGACGGCGGTTATCTCATACGCGCCTGTTCAAGACTTGAACCCGTCGTTACGGGCCCAAGAGGGAAAAAGGTTCGTCCTGGGGATGTATTGCGGATTCCCACACAGAGGTATACCAGAAGGCTGTGGTTTCGCCACAGATCTTGCACAGGTATACTGCAGGCATCCTCTGCCCGCGTGAGACCAGGCACACCCAGGTGTCCATCTCCGTCTTTTCATTGACGACATGTTGTGAGGCAGCTCGCGAAGCTGCAGCTCGACGCGTGCTTCCAGCTGCTAGCAGTCATCTAGCATGACCTCCAGTGCCAGATTGCCGACAAGAAGTCGGCCGTTCTCGCCTCCTCAAGGGACATCCAAGATACCTTCGAAGTCGAGCTAGGTGAGTACGCGGGTCCCCATCAAGCAGGTCTCGGTAGCCCCCAATCTTGGAGGCGACTAGCGATCTGGAGGAGCCCGACGTCTTGGGATCAACACGTCCAACCTCGATGCCAGGCACAAGAAGCTTCAAGCCACAACCCGACAACTCGTCAGCCTCAAGAGAGCCCAAGGAGGCACCCGCAAGATCTACAATGCCAGCTTAGGTCAGGCGCACTTCTACGGGTCTGAGGTTGTAGGTCTGGACAACGCCGAGCTTCGCAAATCGCAGTCGCTCTACCGCAAGATCGCGGGCCCAGGGACCTCCACTCGATCCAGAAGTACCTCGCTCTGCATCAGGTGACCCCTGCAGGCGACCTGCAGTAGGACCAATTCTTCTTTGGAGTCCGCTGGCGTGACGCGCAGCCACGGGCACGGCCGCCCAGGGCTTCGATCTTCCGAATTTGCCCAGGATGGCGGACGCCGTGCTGAAGCGAGCGCCCATGCCATGGAGAAGCTGCACAGGTCCACTATGTGCAGCCTGCCTCTGTCGCCAGAGCATCGAGTGCTCGCTCGCTTCCCCCTTCGTGATCCAAGAAAGCCAGGGAAACCAGCACACTCTCACCAGCACCTCCCCCAGCCTCCTGCGGGACTTCCTCGAGCAATCCTGGGGAGAGAAGTTACGCCGAGCAGCAGCCAGCAGGATGGGCCTCGACCGGGCCACACTAAATGTGGAGATCGCTGAGAAATTCCTCAGGTCTCCCAGTCTCAACACCGTCGAAAGGACCACTCTGCTCGCCTACCTGTGCCACGCAGCATGGACGCGCAGCGCCTTCAGGGGCCGCAGGCTGCGGGGAGACCTCTGGAAGATGCATCTGTGGCGCGGCATCTGACGACCTTCCCTATCGTCTACCGAGGTGCTCCCTTACTGAGCCCTACAGGTCAAAACAGTTGCACAGCTGATGAAATAGAAGGTATAAGTAAACATGATAGTGTTCCTCTCGCTGCTGTTTGTCAGATCGAGCCAGAGTTTGGTATAAGAGCCCCAGAAGGGCTCGGTTTCGGATCCATGAAATGTTGGCCCGCGGATCCCGCAGGCCACCCCACAGACGGCCATTGTGGGCAAGGTTTCCGCGAATGGGTCGGCCCTGAGGCCTGGGTGCAAAACCTCTGACACAGCAGGTTGGGCAGTCGCCAAGACGAACGACGCTGGCGAAGCTGTAGCAGCTTTCACTGGCCAGGCCGGCCGACTCCTCCCCAAGTCCTCCCTTGCTGCTGAGCGCTGTGCTGTGCTTGCTGCCGTTCCCTCCTCTTCCAGCATCACCGAGATTTCAATCGATCACCAGGGCACCCTGGACTTATGCTTGCGGATGCCATGACGATGGACAAACTATCAGTCCTATCCTTGAATGTAAAATGTGCTTGTTAAAATGTTGGAGAAGTGTGTGCAAACATGTTTGGAAAAACGATGTTCTACATGCTTAAAGCATGTGTAACCCATGTTGTAGACATCTGGAAAGTATTTGGCAACATGTTCCCTCTCCATTGATCATCCTCCACAAACTTATACGCCACCGGCTTGTCCCGACGTAGCAGAGACGCTGGGATCGGTCTCCCTGCGCAGGCTGCCATAGGCTGGCACCCGCAGCTCGGGCACTCGAAGGTCAGAGCCCACCAGAGCCTCGACGCCCGTCCCGAGGGACCTCCCGAGTGGGCCGCGGCCATGGGCAACCGTGGCGCGGATCGTTTTGCTGGTATCGCCTCGCGAGCTTTCAACCGACCTTCGGATGCTGAAGTAGCGCTTTTTCGGTTCAGAGTCATAGGGGAACAAAAGTGACATAAACATAAAAACTCGGAGGTCCGCGCGGATTTCTCGGGACGGCGCTGGACCCTCCTCCCTGGCGCGCGGAGCGCGCCAGGGGCGGCGCCGGAGGCGCCGCCAGGGGACCCCAGCGCCAATCCGAGAAATCCGCGCGGACCTCCGCGTTTTTATGTTTATGTCACTTCTTGTTCACCTCAGTAAGCTGCTAAGCAAGCTCCCGCTCCATGTTGCACATGCTGCGCAGGAGTGGCCCCCGATGGGACCCGGCACGTCCAAGAAGGTGATCGCCAAACCTGCCAAGCCGGTGCCTCCCCCAGCCGGCTCTGCTTCAGCGCAGATAAGTCTGGAGCCCGCCCCAAACCACCTCCTCCACCGCCTTCTCCCATGGCGTCCCGCCCCCTCGGCGGTCGGGGGGGAGAGTCGGGCGCACAGGTGGGAGGCGTTGGGGACGAGAGTTCTGTGCCCAGACTGCCGCGGAGGAGCGGCCACCAGGAAACCAGGATCGTGCCCCGGACACGCTTCGCAGCCTGCCCAGCTCCGCAGCAGCCCCCAGAGCCATACGTTTTTCAATCTCAGAGCAGCGTCGAGGTGGATCGTTCCTTCCAGCCTGTTGCAGGTGCGGCAAGTTTTCACAATCCAGTGCCAGAGCCCTAAGCACCGCGTGGGCCTGCCGCTTTGCCAGACCAGGAGATCGGACCCAGTAGAATCGATTGATCAGCGGCAGGCACCACACAGGGACCATAAATGCCCCCATTGACTTCGAGCTGCCGGTGCCTCTCCACCAGCACCTCCAGCGACAGGCCGAAGAGCTGGCGGAGCTTGAGGAGGACACAGCCGCCGCTGCCACCACCCCAGGCCACCCGAGCGGGGGGGAGGGAGAGCAGCGGCAGCAGTAGCAGCACTAGCAATCGAAGAGTCGAACCCTTCAATCTGCGTGACTGTCCTCCTTCTCCTCCTCCTCCTCCTCCTCCTCCTCCTCCTTATCCTCCTTCGCTCCTCCCTCCTTCCCCCATGCCTCCTCCCTCGCCCTCCCTGCCGCCTCCCTCCACTATCATTCTTCCCCGTCTTCATCGTTCCTCCTTTGCCTCTTCCTCCTCCTGCTCACCCTCATCACATCAACATGAGCAGCAGCAGCAGCATCATCAGAATCATAATCATCATCATCATCATCATCATCATCATCATCATCATCACCATCATAATCATCATCATCATCATCATCATCATCATCATCATCATCATCATCATCATCATCATCATCATCATCATCGCCATCAGTATCTTCGTCATCATCAGCATCATCATCACCATCATCACCGTCATCATCACTAGCATCATAAAAAGGCAGCATCAGCATCAGCATGTGGTCATCAGCATCGTCATCATCAGCATCAGCATTAGCATCAGCAGCAGCATCATGATCATATTCACCATCACCATCATCGCCATCATCAGCAGCATCACCAGCATCACCAGCACCACCACCATCACCAACCCCACACCATCACCATCACCGTTACCATCACCATCACCGTAACTATCAACATCAAACCCGGCATCGTCATCACCAGCATCGTCAGTACCATCATCGCCATCATCACCTGCAACATCACCATCATCATCATCATCATCATCATCATCATCATCATCATCATCATCATCATCATCATCATCATCATCGGCATCATCATCATCATCATCATCATCATCATCATCATCATCATCGCCAGCGTCGCCAGCGTCGTCATCCTCGTCGTCATCGTCAGTGCCAACCTCTTCGTCCTCATCATCAGCATCGTCGACATCATCACCATCACCACCATCATCATCAACAACAACATCATCATCAGCAGCATCAGCATCATCACAATCACCCTAATCATCATCAGCATCGTAAGCATCATCATCAGCAGCATCATCATCAGCATCACTATCATCATCAGCATCAGCATCATCATCGTCGTCATCAGCATCATCACCATCATCAGCATCATCGGCATCGTCACCATCAGCATCACCAGTATTATCAGCATCAGCCTAATAATCATCATAATACTCATCAGCAGCGTCGTCATCCTTAATCCTTCCTCCCCTTCCTCTTCTCTGCCTCCCCCCCTTGTCTCCTCCCTCGTCTCCCCCGCCTCCTTCCTCTTTCTCCTCATCCTCCTCCTGCTGTTCCTCCTCCACCGTTTCCTGCTCCTCCACCGTTTCCTCCTCCTCCTCCTCCTCTTCTTCCCCCTCCTGTCACCGCTACACTGGCTGCAATTTCTCCTTCGTTCCCTCCACCCCCAACCTCGGAACAGGTGAGGGCGTCGGCGACGAGGACGCGGAAGGTCTGCCCGCGCAGGTTGCCTGGGGGGGAGGGGGGGGAATGCAAAAAGAGACACCAACATCGCTACTTCTCCTCCTCCTCCTCCTCCTCCTCCTCTCCTCCTCCTCCTCCTCCTCCTCCTCCTCCTCCTCCTCCCTCCCTCCTCCTCCCTCCTCCCCTCCTCCTCCTCCCTCCCTCCCTCCTCCCTCCCTCCCTCCCTCCCTCCCCCCTCCTCCCTCCCTCCTCCCTCCCCCCTCCCTCCCTCCCTCCCTCCCTCCCTCCCTCCTCCGTCTCCTCCACCTCCTCCTCCCCCTCCTCCGCATCCTCTCCGTCCGTCGCCATTCTGCCTCAAGCTTCGAGGTTTCCTTGCGAACCCAGTGGATGCCGCTAGTCCGCGGCCAGTGTCATCCATTTGCCAGGTCCGCCCCTGGCAACGCCCGAGCTGGTCAGCCCCAGCGACGGCGTCTCGCGCCCACTCCCCAGAGGGTATCATGCCCAGCAGGAAATGTGAGCAGCAGTTCGCGTGGTGCTCACGCGGCCAGTGGAGCTACAAGTGAAACATCATCGAGAACAGTTGCCAGCGAGTGTTCTGTAAGAGGCCCATGGACATCTTCAGGGCAGGCTTCACATGAACCAGCGGTGAGGAGGAGGATGTGACGGAGCATGGTTCGACCCCTCCGTGGAAAAGAAAGGACGGAGGGAGGAGGAGGAGGAGGAGGAGGAGGAGGAGGAGGAGGAGGAAGAGGACGAGGAGGAGGAGAAGGAGGAGGGAGGGAGGGGGAGGGAGGAGAAGGAGGATGAGGAAGAGGAAGAGGAGGAGGAGGAGGAGGAGGAGGAGGAGGAGGAGGAGGAGGAGGAGGAGGAGGAGGAGGAGGAGGAGGAGGAGGAGGGGAGGAGGAGGAGGAGGAGGAACGAGGGAGGAGTGAGGGGGACGCGAGGAGGGAGAGGAGGGAGGAGGAGGAGGGAGGAGGAGGGAAGAGTAGGAGGAGGGGACGAGGAGGAGGACAAGGCGGAGGAGGGGGAGGAGGGAGGAGGACGCGAGGAGGGACGGAGGAGGAGGAGGAGGAGGACGGACGAGGGGAGGGGAGGAGGAATGGAATGGAAAGGAATGGAATGGAATGGAATGGAATGGAATGGGATGGAATGGTATGGGATGGAATGGAATGGAATGGAATGGAATGGAATGGAATGGAATGGAATGGAATGGAACGGAAAGAAACGGAACGGAATGGAATGGAATGGAATGGAATGGAATGGAAGTGCCCGCGGACGGGGGAGTGCACAGCACTAAATGCGCGCGCCGCCGCGGCCGGGCGCCCGCGGGCGCGGCCGGGCCGCGGGGCGCTCACGGCGCGGGGGCGGCGCACGGCGCCGGCGGGCCCCCCGCAAGCGGGCAGCATGGGGATGGCTGGCCAGCTCCCCCCCCACGTTCTGTCGGCCGGCAACCATCCCAGCCGGAAACACCCGGCAGCCGACAGAACGGGGAGGGGCCAGGCCACCACCAAACCCACACCACCCACCCCAGGGGCCCGCCACGACACGACAGACGACAACAGCGACGGCGACGACACGACGGGGGAGAAGGACCCCCCAGCCACGACTCCCACGGGGGACACCTGGCTGGGTAGCCAGGCTCCCCGTGCGGGGCTGCGTGGCCGGGGGCCTCGGGAAGGGGACCCCGCTTTGGGGGCCGTCCCGGGCGCGGGGGCTTTTCCCCCGAAGGCCCGGCGGTCCCCGCCTCCGCCAGGGGGCGCTTTGGCCCGACACCCCGCTTATGGGGGTGCCCCTCCGGGGCAGGAGGAGGAGGAGGAGGGGGAGGAGGGGAAGGAAGGAGGAGAAGGAGGAGGAGGAGGATGACGACGACTTTTCCGACCGGCATCTCCTCGTGAGTTGAAGGCGGCCAGCTGGTCCATGGTCGCCACCCCGAAGGCGGGCCGGGCGGCCTGGGCGCCGTCGCCGCAGCTGCCGTCGCCGCCGTCGCCGGCGAGGACGTCCTTGGATGTGGACATCGACGGCCGCCGAGGGTCGAGGTGGAGCAGGAGCAGGGGTAGGGGGAGGTGAAGGAACGAAAGAGGAGGTGGAGCATCAAGGGGAGGAGGAGGAAGAGGAGGAGCAGGAGGAGGCGGAGGAGGAGGAGGAGGGGGAGGAGGAGGAGAAGGAGGTAATGCAATGTTGACTCATATTGTGTCCGTCTCCTTCCTGACGAAGGAGAGTAGAGGACGAACGAATGCAACCACGATGAATGCGAAGGTAGAACCAGGTAGAAGGAAGACCGAAGGATGATAAACAAATTATACGAACAGGAAGCCCGCCTGTGCGTCTCTGGGCCCTCTGAAGCCTGTTAGGGGCACTCGTGAAGGTTAGTGGGATCCTCTGGAGAGCCTCTTAGGGACATCTTAAGGTCATTTCGGGCATCTTGGGACCCATCTTGGGGGCCTCGTAAGAGCCCTCGGGGCACTCCTGGATGCTGGAACCATCTTGGGGGTGTCTTGGGAGGCTATTGTACCCCCCTTGGCCTAGCAGGGCCTTGTCTCGGCTTTCTTAAGGTCTTCGGTGCTCTCACCAAGGGCTTGCAGATCGGGAAAACCTCCTGGGACGAACGATCCTCGAACACCTCTGTTGCTTCGTGCATGTTCCGCCCTCTCGAATGCAGCCTGGAACCCTCTCGGGACCCTCTTGCGCCATCTCGAGGGCGTCTTTGGGATCACCCTCGGCTCTTCTTGCAGCACCCGAAAAGGCCTCTCGGCGCGTCCTGGAGCCCTCTCGGGGACTTCCGGTCGATCCTGGAGGCACCCTTGCGGCCGGAGTGGGCCCTCCTGGGCCCTGCGGCACGCCTTCCGCCGAGTTCTGCCGGCATCCGTCAGCGGAGGGACGAACATGCGGAGGAAGAGGCGGGGGAGGACGAGCAGGAGAACGAGGAGAACGAGGAGGAGAACGAGGAGGAGAACGAAGAGGAGAACGACGACGACGACGACGACGACGCCGATGACGACGACGACGACGACGACGACGACGCCGACGACGCCGACGACGACGACGACGACGACGACGACGACGACGACGACGACGACGACGACGACGACGACACCGCCGACGCCGCCGAAGACGACGGCGGCGGCACCCGAGGGCGGGCCGCGCGACCTGGCCCTCCTCCGCCGGCGTGCCCGCCGCGGAGGCCAGGGCGCGGAGATGCTCGAGCAGGGCCTGCGGGCTGCGGGGGGGGGGCGCCGCTCACGCCGAGGTGCGGCGCCGCCGACGTTGGAGCGAAAAACACACACACCAGAATGCACGGCACACACACACACACACACACACACACGCACACACCAGAATGCACGGCTCACGGCACTTCCGCCGGGCTCCGCCATCGTTCAGCCCGTGGCCGGGGCCAGATGGAGAAGAATACCCACCCAGACCCCCCCGAAAGCAATACACGGGAACCCCTCCGCAAGGCTGGGGAAAATTCGGAGTCCCGAAACGGTGCGGTGACAGACCGTGCGGTGACCTCATCATCCCTCCAGACCTCACCGCACGGTCCCTCACCGCACGGCCTTGGGACCCCGGAGGCCCCCCGTCGCCCGAGACGTCCTCTCGGAGAACGACCCGAGTCCCAAGACCGTGCGGTGACCCCGAACCTCCACCGACTCACAGCACGGTGTGGTCACCACCCCGTTTGGGGGCCCCCAGGAACTTGCCGTCGCTCGGACGTCCATTCCCCGAGCATTGTTCGGCTTCGTGCGTGGTTTTTTTCGCAGGATGATCCAGGATGCTCCTTCATAGCCCCCGCCGAGAAGCAGTGCACACGTCCGAGCGATACCAAGGCAACGAAGGGCTGGAGCGCTGGCGGTCGGCGCGGGCCGCCCTGTCTACGAGGAGCCTGCTCCCGAGGAGGCGGGCGATCGACGCGCCGCGAAGAACAGGGGGCCCGGGGGGCCCCAGCGCCGGGCCTTCGGGCGGGCGAGAGGCGCCGGGAGAGGGGCCAGCCCGAGGAGGGACGGGAAAGAGACAGGAGTCTGGGGAGGCGGAGGAGGAGGAGGAGGAGGAGGAGGAGGAAGAGGAGGAGCAAGAGGCAGTAGAGGAGGAGAAGGAGGACGAGGATGGAGGGCCACTTGCAAGGAGGGAGGGCGAGGAGGGCGAGAGCGAGGAGGAAGAGGAGGAGGTAGTGGAGGAGGAGGGCGATACGCAAACAGGGAGGTCGAGGAGGGCGAGGGTGAGGAGGAGGTGACAGAAGGTGATGAGGGCGAGGGCGAGGAGGAGATGGCGGAGGCGGAAGGAGGGTCGGCCCCAGGTGGCGCGCTCTTCACAAAAAAACGCCCGTTTGAAGATGCCATGAACTATATCCCAATGGTCTTGGCGCTTGAAATTACACACGCTTTAACGTGGTGGTAGTCGCCGTTGATGGAAGGGAGTCGGCATAGCTCGAAGTACTGCTCGAGGCTTGCCTGGAACCAGTCTCCGCGTCCCAGCGACGCGTTAACACCTCTCCGACGCATGTCCCTCCGCCACTAGGAAAACTCCGGAGGAGCTGCACGGTAGGACGAATTCGTCTTTCAACAATGGACACTTCCGCAATCACAACAATCACTTGATCGAAAATGTAGTCGCGACCCGAATGCCGCCACACACACACACACACACACACACACACACACGCACACACACACACACACACGCTACCCTCAAGCTGGCTTCTGCCAGCTGATTGACACCACAATGCTACGACAGCTTCCTCCAGGCATGGGGTCTTCTAATAAAGCACCTTTTCCTCATCCGATTCCTCCTTATTACTTTCTCCTCACTCTGTATGGAAAACTGATCACATCACACATTGTTCCCTCCTCCATAAGCTCTCATCCCTCCTCGCGCTTCACTCCTACCCTCTCCTCCCCCATCCTCCTCCTCCTCTGACTCCTCCTTCTCCTCCTCCTCCTCCTCCTCCTCCTCCTCCTCATTCGCATTCTCATCCTCATCGTCATCGTCATCCTCCTGCTCATTCTCCTCGTTCCTCCGCATCATCATGCTCCGTCTCTCTCCTCCTTTCTCCTGCTCCTCCTCCTCATCCTCCCTCCTCTTCCTCCTCATCCTCCTCCTCATCATCCTCATCACCATCATCAGATTCTGGGCCTCCAGGCCGGAGCTGCGGTTGATGAGCACCAGGGCCTTCTCGGGCCTTCGGGCGACGTCTCGCGCGATGGCGTCCAATTTTGGGGCGCACGCCGCCATGTCCGCCAGCACGCGGGCCTTCCGGGTGTCGTCGTCGTCATCGCCGCCGCCAGCGTCGCCGTCGGAGCCAGAGGAGAGGGAGGGACGGCGGAGCGCAACCGCGGAGGGCGAGGAGATGTGGGCGTGCTGGGAAAGCCTGGGCGGTCTTCGGCAATCCGTACCGCGAGGTGCAGAGAGTCCCCTAGCCACGCAAAGTTGTGGCACGGCCGGTGGTCCCGCCGCGGAGGTGTTCGCCCAGAGGCCCGATGCGCCTGTACGCCAAATCCGCACCAGGGGCCAGCGCCCACTGACGGAGAGCAACCTTACTTCCTGCCTATAGCGAGCGAGCAGACGAGACCGCCGACCTCGATGCTCAACGGGCGCAGTTGTCAGCATGAATGAGAAATCGGATCGACCTTGTGGATCAGCAGACCCGGAGGGTCCAACGCTGCTTGCTCGAAATAGCGACTCATGTGATCCAAAACGTAATTCCTTGTACGGCGCTGTGGGCAGTAAGACCCGCAATGCCCAGCGACGCAAGACCGCGCAACAAATTTTCCAGAGCATCAGAGGGCTGGGTCACAGGGGCCACACCTGTTGGGACACGGCGACGAAGAGAAGAGTTCGAGGAGGAGGACAAGGAAGGAGGAGCACGGCAGAGTAAGAGGACGCGTGAACATATCAGGAGGAGGAGGAGGAGGAGACAAGCGTAAAGGAAGAGGAGGAGGAGGAGGAGGAGGAGGAGGAGGGAGGAGGGTTCAGGAGGTTTGGGCGGATGGGGCCGCCGTAAAAGTCGACCAACGCATCTCAGAGGATCCTCAGTGATCCTCATATTCCTGCTCCTGCTCCTCCTCCTCCTCCTCCTTCTCCTCATCCTCTTCCCCCTCCTCCCCCTCATTCCTCACCCCCTCCTCCTCATTCCCCTGCCCCTCCCTCCTCCTCCTCCGCTTCCTCATCTCCCCCCTCCGTCGTCGTCGTCGTCGTCCCCGTTCTCCGGCTCCTCTACACCCCTCTTCCTTTTAAATAGTTCCTCCCCGTCGCACCTCGAGACATATTGTAGGGCGTGCACGGCCTTTCTTATTAGACTTCCCCACAATGTATGATCCTTAAACTTGGTATGTGCAGCAGCTTCACGGATGGAGGCTGGGTCGTTTTCAAAGTGTGGGTCTGGCCTTAGCGCCGCGCACATGTGTCGTAACGTTTGTTCGAGCTTTACGGATGGAGGGCGGGTGGCTTTCAAAATGTTGCTCTCGCCTGAGCGCCGCGCACATTCGCCTGAAAGTTTGCAAGGGCATCACGGATGGAGGGCGGATGGTGTTCAGGATGTGGCTCTCGCCGTAGCGCCGCTCACAGTGGTCTTCAAAGCTTGCAAGAGCTTCACCGATGGATGGCGGCTCCTCTTCAAGCTGCGACTTTCGCCATGGAGCCGCACACATACGTCTTCATACTGCACACGAGTTTCAAGGAAGCTTGCAAAGGACGTCCTAGGAACGATGTTTTGGCACGGCTTATGGTTGTCAGGTCACGACAGCCACGCTGATTCGCGGCGCTCTCGTCCCAGAAATGGTGCTTTGGCACGGTTTAGGACCGTCAGGCCGCAACAATAACGTTGACTCGCGCTGTTGAAGTCCCAGGAGTAGTGCTCGGGCACGGTTGGAGAATTTCAGACGGCTGTCTTCCAACGGAACTCTTCCCGCAGTCACAGTAGATTCTTATAGGGGCCTGTGAAAAGGAAGCGTGGAGGGAGGGTGCATTTCAACATCGTTGATGAGTAGCGGGTTTACACTGGACATCCTCGTCCTGCTCCTCCTCATCCCCCTCCCTTTCATGGAGATGATAATGATGATGACGATGATGATGACATCGTCATCATCATCATCATCATCATCATCATCATCATCATCATCATCATCATCATCATCATCATCATCATCGGCAACATCATCAGAAACATCTGCATCGTCATAGTCATCGTCGCCGCCATTGTCGCAGTCCTCACTCCTCATCCGCATCAGCATCAGCACTGTCATCATCATCAGCCTCGTCACCATCACCAGCCTAATGATCGTCATGGTCATCATCATCATCATCACAATCACCATCATCAGCAGCACCATCACCATCACCATCACCATCACCATCACCATCACCATCACCGCCACCGTCGCCATTCTACCATAACCATCATCACCAGCAGATATCATCATAATCATCATCAGCATCAGCATCGGCAACATCATCATCCTCATCATGCTGATCATCCGTATCATCCTCCTCATCATCAGCAGCATCACCATCAACAGCACCAAAACCATGATCATCATCCGCATTATCATCATCACCATCGTCAATGTCCCTCCTGATCACTCCTCTTTACTCTCCCTTCTCCTCCTTCTCCTCCTTCGCCTCACCCTCCGCATCCTGAATACTCCATCTCTCATGCCCCTCATCGCCCCCCCGTGCGAATCCTCAAGCATTGCCCTAAGATTGCCGAAGATGCATCCAAGGTAGACCCCTGAGGCCCCAAGATGCCCGCGGTATCGCCCAAGGCGGCCCATTGAGGCCCCACGATGGCTCCAAGTGGCCTCGTGATGACATCCAGAGGCTTCAAGATACTACCAGTTGTGCCTGAGGTGGCGCCTGAGGTGGCCCCCACAAGCCACGAGATGGCCCAAAGTCCCGAGATGGCCCCAGTAACTGCCCCAAGACGGCTCGGGCCTGGACAGTCAGCAGGAGAGTGCGCATGCCCTGCGACATGCGTTTGCAAGCACGAAAAAGACCGCCCCGCGGCTGGCGAAGGCAGAGGAAGTCAGCGGGGGAGGGAAGAGCAAGAGGAGAAGCAGCAGCAGCAGCAGCCCTGCGACACGACTCGCCCACGCGGTTATCCTGCGAGTCCACGTCGACTCCGCGAATGTAAACAAAACCACTGCTGCAGTGCCCATCGTGTGTGGTCGGCGGCGAGCGAGGTGGGGACGTGAGAAGGAGAAGGCCTTCTCAGAAGGCTCGGACGTCTCCCGGCCTTCTGAGAAGTTGTCTAAGCCCTCTCGAAGACACAGAAAACATCGCAGAAGGCGCGAGGGCTTCTGAGAAGCCCCGCCGCCTTCTGAGAAGGCCGCCTCCTTCTCACTACCCCCCCCTCGCTGGCCGCCAGGTACAAGACAAGATTCTGGAGCCAAGACCCTTGTCCCGTGGGTCACCCAGCTTCGCGCTCCTTTCGGTCGTCTTCCCATCTCCTGCGCGACCCCCCCTGGAGAAGGACACCTCCTCCTCATCATCATCTTCATCATCATCATCATCACCACCACCACCACCACCACCACCATCATCATCATCATCATCATCATCATCATCATCATCAGCATCATCATCATCATCATCATCAGCATCATCACCATCATCACCATCATCGTCATCATCATCCATGATCCTCCTCCTTTCCTCCTCCTCTCCCACCTCCTCCATTATCCTCCTCCTCGTCCTCCTCCATTATGCTCCTTCTCATCCTCCTCCCCTTTCCTCCCCCTCCTCCTCCCCCTCCTCCTCCTCCTCCTGCTCCTCCTCCTCCTCCTCCATTCTCCATCCTTCTCATCCTCCTCCTCCTCCTCATCCTCCATTCCTTTTCCTTATAAAGAACTTCTCCCTGTCACTCCCCGAAACCAGTTTTTAGGGCGGGCTGGGCATTCCGCATGAGACTTCCTCACCACTTATGACTCTGAGGCTTCAAATGTGACAACGGCTTCACAAATGGAGGGCGAGTGGTTATCAAACTGTGGCTCTCGCCTTAGCGCCGCGCACAATGGTTTTGAACAATTACAAGAGTTTCACGGATTGAGGGCGGGTCGCTTTCAACATGTGACTCTCGCCTTAGCGCCGCGCGCATTCGTTCTAAAAAGTTGCAAGAGCTTCACGGATTGAGGGTGGTTCCTTTTCAAAATGTGGCTCTCGCCTTAGCGCCGCGCACGTTCGCTTCTAACATCTGCAAGAGCTTCACGAATTCCCATGATCAACGTATTAGACATGATGTGTTGGAAGGATTCAGGATTATGCGGGTGCAACAGTTATATTCGTTCGCGATATTGAAGTCCCCAAAACGGCGTTCTGGCACGATTCCGGATCGTCAAGACGCAGCAGTCAGGTTGATCCGTGGCGTTGGAATCCCGAGAACGATATTTTGGCATGCTTCAGGATATTCAAACGGTTGCCTTCCAACGAGGTAATTTCCGCATGGAAATGAACCGTTGTATGGGGCCTGTGAAGAGGGAGCTTGGACGGAGGATTAATTCCAACATCGTTGATGACTCTTGGGTTTACACTGGTCCTCCTCCTCCTCCTCCTCCTCCTCCTCCTCCTCCTCCTCATCATCATCATCATCATCATCCCGCTCTTCCGCGAAGCGCGAATCGCCATCGTCTTCGCGCCCCTGCGGGTGTGCCTGCCCCGTCGCTGGTTCTCACTCGGGGGCCCGCCGGGAATGCGCCTCACTCCTGACCCCGTGCGGGAGACGTCCAGCCCTCTCCGCGTGGTTGTGTCTTACAGGAGTTCAAAGCATGTAGTTCTCTGATGTGATTTGCAATCCGATTGTAGGGGAACGAAGAATGACATAAACATAACAACTCGGATGTCCGCGTGGATTTCTCGGATCCGCGCTGGACTTCCCTGCCTGGCGGGCGGAGCACGCCAGGGGCGGCGCTGGAGGCGCCGCCTAGGGGGCCCCAGCGCCGATGCGAAAAATCCGCGCGGGCCTCCGAGTTTGTATGTTTATGTCGTTGTTCGGTCCCTTTGTCATTGTTCGTTCCCCCCAGGGGGGTTGACCCTGAGGGAGGTCATGAGTTCGATCCGCTGGTGCACCGAACTGCCGAAAACGGATGCCCCCACAGGCCCCAACCACCGGCAGCTATCGGGAGCTGCCGGCGGGTGGGGGGCATCTGTTTTGGGTGGTTCGGTGCATAAACCCATCGAACTCGCCACGCTGCAAACAGCCCTCCGTGCTCACCAGACGGTGCGTCTCACGTCGGGTGTTGCTAGAAATGCCCCTGGCC